TCCGGCCCTCTCCGTCCCCTCGGACCTGGAAGCGATGTGAGCCAGCTACAGGTTGTTCACCCACCGGCACTTCGGTACCCGGCCGGCTCTTGCGCTCTTTATGCATTGGAGCTCCTGTCCGTGTCCGGGCGTGGAGATGCGAGGGAGTCGCCCCCCCTTCCAGTTCCAGGCCCTGATAGGGGGGCATATGGCAGTCGCGCTCCCAATACGTGCATCACTTTTGTGACAGGTCTCAGACTTCGGATTTGGAACGGGCGCCCGGCGCCCGTTCGAATGGCGATGAGTTCTCCGGTGGACCATCAATAGTTACCAAGATATGGCCGCTCAAAGTCTGAGACCTGTCACAAAAGTGATGCACGTATTGGGAGCGCGACTGATGGTGATTTTTGAATGAACGCCTCGCGCAAAACCACCGCTACCATGCCACAGAAGACCCTTGTGGGCTATCCAGAACACCTAAGATCATGCCCTAGCTCTAAAGTGGGCCCGAAATATGCCAGCTAAACCCCGGATTTTTTCCGGCAGGCTCCAGGCCTCCACCGTCCACGCCGCACTGTGATGAGCGTCGGCAGGACCCTTTGAAATCATAATGGCGGCGTCTGGAGAGGCCCCCACGGCCGGGGGCGGTAAGTGGGTGATAGGAGGGTGATAGACGACCATAACACCGGCCATCGGACCCCTCCACCCCCCCAAACACAGTCCAAACCGGCCCCGGCGGCCGCCCGCCGTGCAGGAGGCCGCCGGGGCGCACCAAACGGCCCTTCACGACCGCCACCATAAATAACCGCGACCACGCAGCAACGGCGCCAACTTCATAGAGAGAGATTTTTAGCAACACTAACTTCAGCCGATGGGCCGTCTAACATAAAGAAACAACAAGACTCTTACCAAAGACCGCATCAAGAAGTTGCGGCAAACTCTCTCGCCGCACCTAACGTGCAGAGCACCGAATAGACGCCTTGCCCAAAAAGCGTGTCTCGAGTTTGTGGCAGCTCCGCAGCCTGCGCGCGCTGCCGGGACGCACCGCTTGCTGGATCTGTGCACTCCCTGGGTCCCAGGGAGTGCACAGATCCAACAGGAGTGAGTAGACTCGACGCCGTACTCGAGATGGAGCTGCAGAAAGTACGCCGCCGAACGTGCCACCGACGGCGTCCTGGCGGAGGTGGTGGAGTTTGAGAACTGAGGCTGCGGAGGTGACGCCTGAGGTACCGGCCCGTGCACGGCGACTCAGCCGGCGACCGCCACGGGCTCAGACGAGACTTGTCGACTCGTTCCGGCTCAGCTTCACCGTGGTCATCGGGCGTCTGTCGACGTCAGGACCACCCATACAGCTCGCGGGTTTGAGGTCGCAAGAGCCAAGATGGTGGCGTTTGGACATCCCAACCATCACACAAGACAGCCTGTAGGTGATGGCGGGACGGCGCAGTGTTTGTGGCACTCGGCAGTAGGCACCCGCGGCACGGCCCCGCTGTCGGCTCTCGCGGGCTGCGGAACCGGCCCCAGAGGGGGACGGTCCGGGCGAGTGTGGCAGCTCCTGCGCTAGTATGGGCACCCTCTATCATAGCAGTACTGATCCTGGTCATTAGAGCTGCCAGGGATAGCGTCAGGAGCCGGTAGGAGTCAAAACCCCTCATATTTGAGACATCGTGGCCTATATACTCGTGCAACAAGCCTGTCTGAGGTCAGCGTCGAAATTCGCATTGTTTCACAGAAAGCTGGCCGCGACACTACAACTACAGGTAGTCGACGACGAGCCGCTGGGGCGAGAAGCGCGGCAGCTGCGCGTCCCAGTACTCCTCGCCTAAGGTAAAGACGCGGTGTGCGAGAGCCGCCGGTCTACCCAAAGAAAGGACAACGTGGAGGACGGCTAGTGGTAGTGCTAGTCTCTCGTCGGGAGGACGACCCCAGCTAGCCGCCGACCACACCCCCCACAAAGAACCCTGCACAAAGATCGCGTGTGGACTTTCCGCTTCGTTTACCCATCTCCTAGTAGAGTTGGCCGTTTTTTATTATTTATTTAGCCGCCGTTCTGCGGCGGCCGCGGCGCGGGCTACGACCTGCGTCTCCCGCTTCCCCCCCCCTCGGCTGCATGCACATGACATGCACATGGACATGTCATGTCATGTGGGCCGCATCTCGGATCGATCTCGGCTGCATCTCGCCGTAGTCGAAGAGCAGCTCCTCGCCTGAATGAATCACGAACTCATTAGTACTGTTAGGTCGTCCTTGATTACTAATTAAGAGAGCAGCTCCTCGCCGGCCGCGATGTCCCTCAGCGTCTCGAGGTACACGGCGGCGAGGGGCGAGTCGTCCTCCCACGCCTCGGTCGCCTGCTTGACGCATGGAGGTACGGTGAGGTGAGGTAAGGTAAACACACACTCACACAAATTGGCGGGGCAAGGGCCGGGCAACCCTCGCAACTCTTCACCCAGACAGGCAGGAGCCCCACGGGAAAATGCGAGACGTGACGTGTGGCGCATGAAGAGCCGTGCCTCAGTCTTCATACCTTGGCCGAGGTGCCTCACTCTTGGTTAGTTAATGAACTGGTGCAGAGAAGGGGCGCCTCGCATTCCAGCTACCACCGGCTAATATCGGCTAAGAACAGCGAATCTCGACGCCTGGCAGTGTCGGCCAACCTCTCGGCGAATCTCGACGAATCTCGATCGAAAAATCTCGGCGAATCTCGGCGGATCTCGCCTGGCAGTTCGCCCGCCGGACCGAGTGGTTGATGAAGCGGCAGTAGTTGGACCTGTCCGGGTCTTCGCCTGGGGGCGCGAGATCGTCCAAGATCAGCCAGAGGTCACACACACACACACACACACACACACACACACACACACACACACACACACACACACACACGCGCGCGCGCGCGCGCACACACACACACACACACACACACACACACACACACACACACACACACACACACACACACACACACACACACACACACACACACACACACACACACACACACACACACTCACCGTCGATGACGACGCCGTTGGTTCGCATCGCATACAGGCCGGTGGAGGGCGACGCGTCGAACTCGTCCTCCCCCATCTCGACGCCTGAGCCGAACGGCGGAGTCCCGTACCTCGGCTGCCGCTCAGCTGCATCTCGGTGGTATCTCGCCTGTGCAGTGGCCTGCCGGGAGAGCGCTGGGCGTCGTCTCGAGTGACATCTCGGGCACGCCTCGCCTGTGTACCGCCCGATGACGGAGCCTTCTGCGAGGTCGACCTAGCGCAGAGAGGGGGGGGGGGGGAGTTACCGCGCAGCCTCCTACGATGTGCAGCCGAGGTGCAGCCGAGAAAGGCCGAGGTGCTGCTAAGGCCGGCCTTTGCAAACAGCCCTCCCCTTCGCGCCGCCCGAAGGCGCAACCTCGATCTCGCGGTCCAGCTCGCAGAAGAAGCGTGCGCCTGCAAGAAAACGGCCGCGGCATGGCTGGAAGGCGGCGGCAATGGCAGAGGTGGCTAGCGACAAGAGCGGTGCAAAGGCAGGCACCGTTCTCGAGAGCCATTCTGCGCCAGAGCAGTCGCTGAGCCACCTGCCGCAGCACCGGCGATGTGCGTGTCGCGGCCTCCAGCAGAGAGCCGTGCGCAGCGGCGAGGGCGAACAGCGTGGTCATGACCTCCGTCGATGTTCCGTACCAAAAGCCTCGTCGAGGTTTCGCGGCAACGTCCTCTAGCACAAAAGAATTCTTACAACGCCTGTCTCACAGCACACTGGCACGACAAGGGCGCAGACTGGCGCGGACTGGCACACACAGACGCACAAAAGAATTTTGGCACCCAAGAATTAATGGAGGAACCGAACGCTCAGTGGCAGCAGCAGCAGCAAGCAAGAGGGTCGCTGCTGCCACCCACCAACTACACCAAGCGGTTCTCCATCCACATGATGACTGTCCCCCGGCAGTACGGACAGCGTTCCATCTTGGCAGAGCAAGGCCCACACGCGCACTGGTGCCCGCACGGAACTGCGGAGTGCGACTTCGGGTTAGGAGAGCGTCCATAGACACCTCACTAACCCCACACACGGTCTCGTCCGTGCCTCGCCGGCCGGCGAGATTGCTAGAGGTAGAGCAAGCCTGCTCTAGCCTCGCATGTCACTTCCTGTCGTCTGTTGTTTGTTGTGCCCTTGTTTGTTCTCTTGGCACCTTGGAGTGCTGGGGGGGGCGACAGGGAGGATGTGGCCTTGAGTTATGTGTACGCCAACTCAGGGTGTGTGGCAGCCAGCTGGCTGTGTGTCTTGTGAGCTTGTTTGTGTCTGTGTGTCGTTCGTGCGTGTCGTCATCATCTGTCCCGCGTCCACCCATACCGCGTTGGTGTCCAGTCTGAGCCCGACTGTTGTTCATCTTTCTACATACATACATACATACATACATACATACATTCCCATAAGTAGGGTAGGTAGGTAGGTAGGTAGGTAGGGGCACCGCAGGGGCCGGCCAGGGTTTTTGCAGAATTTCATCATGAGGTCCGCCCAAGCAAGAAGTACCTACACCTGCGGGGTTGTGCGTTTACGTGAACGGCGCCGCGGAAGACCGAACCGTCGATGGAAGCACCCCCTCCCCTAGATGCTGTGGCCTCTCTTCGGAGGCAAGCGCGGTGCTTGCCGAGTCGAACTCGGCGCGCGAGGGTCGGTGGACGAGCTTCCGGGCGTGAGTGAGGTAGTCTGCCAGCAGGCGTGTGACAATCTTCCTGATTGCCTCGCCATCGATTACAGCGTCGGGCCCGAGAAGATGTGTGAACTCCACAAGGAGCCGATACTGCACGTCCTCCCGATGGGCGAGCACGCATGTCGCATCAAGCCCGCCCCGGGACAGAGCGTCTTTCGCGGAGAGACAATGGCTTTCAACGGGGAGGTGACTCACCTGCCGGCGCCTCCCCTCCCTCGGCCGCCACCGCCGTCGCCACCGTCGCCGCCGTCGCCGCCGTTACCGCCGCCCCAACCCCCGCCATCACCGCCGCCGCCGCCACCGCTGCCTCCCTCGCAACCACCGCCGCCATCACCACTGTCGCCGCCACCACCGCCACCTCTACCGCCACCGCCCAGCCCGCCACCGCAGTCCCCACCATCGCCGCCGCCACCACTGCCGCCGTCGCCCTTCCCGCCGCCACCCTCGCCATCGCCACCGCCGCCACCGCCACCGTCGTTGCCGCCGCCACCACCAGCGCTACCGCCCAGATCGCCACCGCAGTCCCCGCCACCTCCGTCTACACCGCCGCTGGCGCCGCCGCCCTCTCCGCCAGGCGCAGTTGAAGCCACTGGCGTTCTGCTGGGTGCCGCCGCCTACTCCACGGCGGTCTGGATGCTTGGGGCGGCGTTGGTGGTGGTGTGGGCCCGGGTGGCCGAGAGATGCATCCGTGAGCGGCCGTGGCGCCGGCTCGCGTCGCAATGGACGCAGATGGCGGAGGAGGGCATCGACGAGCGGCGCACCTTGAGCTCCAACGCGCAGCCCCAGCCGGCGTCGCCTGCCGAGTTCCGCAATCTACCGTGTACGGCGGAGTTGGTGGCGGCGGCGAGGGTGGCGTCGGAGCCGGCGTGTGCGGCGGCGGCATGCGCCGCGCCCGAGGCGGTGGCAGCGAAGGTGGTGCGACTGAGACGACTGGTGGCGGAGGCGGAGGCGACGGCAGCGATACAGCTGCAGGCGATCGCGCGCGGCCGGCAGGGGCGAGCCAAGGCGGCGGCGACTGCCGCGGCTGAGGATAGCTCGGAGACGAAGTCCGAGCTGGCGGATGCGCTGGCAGGTTTCTGAGTGGCCGCGGAAGCGGTTGAGGCGGCGGCTCTGCAGCGGCCAGCCGGAGGTCGTCCTTTGGCTCGGCCGCGGACCCTCTCGATATCTCGAAGAGGGCTCGCGAGTGGACGACTCTGTGGCCGCCTCCCACTCGGACCTCGAAATAAAACTGCCTGGTACTCTCGGCCTGATTACCGGAGCGTCTGCTCTCAAGCAGACGCTGGGGGGACACTCACGCCCGGAGGCGGATGGGGATGGGGGGGCGCCGCGCCGCCGCCGCGCCGTGCCGCCTTCTCCCGCTTTGATCTCCCTCAGCTGCTTCTCCTCAACTCAACCTGTGAGCTTGCGAGGGCGGCGGGGGTGGGAGTGCTCTCGGGCGGCGTGTGCGAGCGCGCGCGGCACGAGATCTCTTTCGCGAGGGCACGGTGGGTCGGGTGAGTATCTCGCGCGCTCGCACTATTTCACGTTATATGAGGCGCTGCCCCTGAATGCCTTTGCAAGAACCGCCAGCGGCGGTGGTTGAACCGTTCGCGGTTCGAGCCGGGAGCTTTTGCCTTTTGGCTCTCCCGGTTCGAAACTCGCGTGGAGGGTTGCTTCGCCGTAGCGAACGCGGGCGACGGCCGCGGCCCGACGCGAGCGCGCGCGCGCGCGCGTGTGCGCGCGTGTGCGCGTGCGCGGCTGCAAGGCGAGGCGAGGCGCAGGCGCAGGCGCAGGCGCAGGCGCAGGGGCAGGCAAGGCGAGGCGGGCGGCGGCGGCGCGCGATCGTTCCTTTTGCCCGGGTGAGGCGTGGCGAGCGCGTCGCGCGGTGATGACGCTAAGGCAGTTGATAAAGATTGATTCTCGCCCCTGTAACTATTGATATTGATTATTGACAGCATCCCCTCTAACTATTGACAATATATTGACATGTTGATCGCTGATTTTAACCTCCAAGAGCACCAAATGTCGACATTTGTCCCAAACATCGCCTAGATGTGGGCTGAAATAAAAAAATCACGAGTTCAAAGCGATTTTTATGCGATTTAAGCAATTTTGAAGCGATTTGGGCCCGTTTTGAATGATTTAGAGCCACTTTCAAGCCCAGGATGGACCCACCTGACGGTCCTGACCAGGCAGCCCAGGCCCAGCCTCTCCTCTAACTATTGCCATACATTGATATTGATCGCCTCTCTAACTATTGGAGCAATATATTCAATATTTATCAACTGCCTTTAGATGACGCCGCACGCTGAGAAGAGAGTTCTTGCATCTTGGTGACCCACCGCCGACCGCGGCGGCAGCGAGCCAGAGCAAGCGACCTGCCGCATGACGGGTAGACCTCGAAAAAGAATTTTTCTCTGGATGCATTGCACACATAGAGCCTTAGATTTTTAGTCTCTCACGCGCCTCTCCAGTGGCCACACAGAGCGCAAGTGCGGCTGGACGATCTCGAGCACAACATGCCTACGCTCCCCTTCAACAGCCCCTCGGCCTCTTCAGTCAGTCTGTCGCCGCGCACACGCGACGCTAGAGGCCCTCTCCCGCCGCCGCACCCAACACCGCGCCCCCTCGCCAGGCCAGTTGCGGGTCGTCCATCCTCAGTTAGCGCCCGTTCGCCCCCCCCTCCGTCGCCGCGCAAAAAAAAGAAACTCTTGATTGCCGAATCAGCATGTCACTCGTCGTCTCTCTGCTCCTCGCTCGGCCGGGCGGCGACTCGGGTGGTGCAGAGGCGCCGCCGCTGCGCGTGCGTGCGCACGAGGCGGCGCTGGAGCACGCCTGCCGTCGCCGCCACGGCCCGACGCCCGGGGCCGTACGTCGAGTCGGACAAACATTTGGCGAGAGCCAACCGAGCATCTTCACCGAGCATCATCGGATCGACCCGCTCTCCTGCAACGAGCCGCGGGAGGGAGACTCGTACGATCCGGCTCGAGCGGCGGCGCGTGGCGCGCACATGCCCTGCTCGCCCGCGGCCGCTGAGGCACACCCGGCGAGAGCTACCTTTGCCCCCTCGGCGTCGTTTGCGAGGCTCGCCTCACCGTCGTGCTGCGGGGGCGGCGGTTGGCTTGGGAGGTGCACGTGGCCGCGCGTGGCGCGGCTGGCCCCTGCACTCGCCCTCATATTTTGTGCTGGCTCGCGCACGCGCCGCGAGAACTCGACGACGAGCGACTGCATTGGCGGGCTTCGTTGTCAAAGGCGGCGGCTCTGCGTGGTCAAAGGCGGCGCTTGCCATCAGCCGCCGTGCACAGCTGTCCCAAACTCTTTCATGCTTTGGGTAGGACGCAGGCCTAACTACTCGGGGGACACACGATTCCCGAACGGGTTGTGTCCCCCTTCCTCCTTTAGACCTCTTCCCACCCCTCCCTTCCCCCTCCCCCCCACCCCGCCCCCCCCCCCTCCGCCGCACCCGCCCCCGCCGCGGCCTTCGCCACTGCCCACCTCTCTACCGCCCTCCCTTCCTCCTCCCTCCTCCCCCCCGCCTCCCCCTCCCACTTCGTCCTCCCCCCCGCCGCCCTCCTCCCCTCTGCCCCCCCCCGGGCCGCCCCCCCCACCGTCGCCCCCCCCCCTGCCGCCCTCTACCACCGCACGAGGCTAACGGGATGCGTCCCGTGCGACATCGGCGACGCGCGAGTGCCGCGCACGCTGTCGCTCTTCGAGCACCTCAACGGCACGCACTGGGATGGGTGCAACTACGGCGGCTGGCTGGCCACGGGGCACACATCCCTCAACACCCACGTCACGAACGTCGCCCGCGCCTTCGGCGCCTCGGCAAAGGTCGTGGAGGTGAGGCTCGGCTGCAGGGACCCGACGCGGGCGCACGATCCGGACACCAACCCGTACCAGCGGGGCGACGGCGTCTTCGGCAACTATGCAGAGTCGGCGCGCGCCGTGGTGTACGACGGCACGTGCGTCACCGCGGTGCACCATGACAAGCTGCGCCCGCTGGCGAGCGGCAAGCGCCTAGCCACCGACTACGCCGAGGCGACGAAGCGGAAGGCCAAGGCAGCGGCGTGCGACGCCAAAAACTGCGACTTTATGACATGGGCGGCGAGCACGCGTGGCGGCATCGGGCACGAGGCGGCGACGTGGTTCAACACCAACTTCGACATCAAGGCCGCTAAGGCGTCCTCCGACAGCGAACGATGGCGGGTCAGTAGCGAGCGCAAACGCTTCCTGCAAGTGCACTCGGCCATCGTCGCGAGGCGCAACGCCGCCATCTTCGACTACAACGCGTGGCCGAAGATGGGCGGCGAGATGCCGCGGGCGCCTCGGGAGCAGTATGAATAGGGACGGGCGAGGGAGGAGGGGCGCTGACCACGGGCGACTACGAGTCGAAGGTTCGAGGACGACTACTCGCCGCCTGGGTCGTTTGGGGCGCGCGGCTCCGTCGAGGACCGGGCGCGCTCCTTACCCGGCGCGGCGTAGGTCTCACTCTGACGTATAGAGGGGAGGCACGGACAACAGCCCAATCCATCAATTCCACTCATCTTCCGGTGCTTGGCCCCGTGCAACAGCGGTCCGGCAGGCTGCCCCCAAGGCCCCCCGGGCCGCTGCGGGTTTGGGAGTTATGCTTAGGCACAGCTTCGGCGATGGCAGCCCCTCTCTGGGGTGTTGCATAGGCGGGGAGTCTCCCCCGCTGGTCTCCTCCTTCCCATTTTTTTCTTTTCTTTTGAGAGCAGGACGCCGGGTTTGTCTTGTATGTGCATGTCGGGCCTGGGTGTGTGTGAGGGGCAGAGGGGCGGGAGCGTGCGGGGCAGAGGCCCAACGTCGGGCGGCTTGTCGGGGTCCGGAGCATTCGAGGGGGGAACGAGGAGGGGAGAATGGGCGGTCGGCGTCGGGGTAGCAGGCTGCAGGGCGTACGGGGTAGCCGTCACTTTCCTGCCTCACAAGGGCGGGGCTGTCCCGGAAAGTGAGAGACGCCGGGCAGCGTGGCGCATTACTGAACCCTCCCATACGTGCTTGTGCTTCCCCCTTCGCTGTCCCATCTCCTCATCTCTTTCCCGCCTGGGCGGGGCGGTGGGCGGGCGCGCGGTGCGGCGCGGCGTGTGCGTGTGTGCGACTGCAACGAAGGACCGCTCGCAGAGGACCATTGGGTTTGTACTATTAACAACGAAGGCGCTCTCAAAAGAAAAATAAAAAGAAAAAACAAACCAAAAGAAAAAACGAACGCAAATCCATTGCGTAAACGGCGTCACAAAGCCCGCCGGTTTTGATTGACAACCACGAGATTGACCGCCGTCAACCAGAGAACGACGGCAGCATGCAGACGATGTGCCAGCTTGCACGGCGCTAGCGCCGCGCCGGCTGGCTCATCGAGCGCGCTCTCTGGCGCCGTCCGGGCCACGCGCGGCGCCGCGCGTGCCGCGCGCCACTCGCCGCGGCCGGCACCACAGCGCCAGAGCCGCCTCACAAACACCGCGCACAGCTCCAGCAGGCTGCTCACCAGGCAGCAGAGAGCTGCACCGGCGTGCAGCGGACGCTGCGGCGCTGCGGCGCCGCCTCCCCGCCCTGTCCACGGAGCAGGCGAGCGGCGGCACGGCCTTCCACCAGCTGCAGGAGGTGCGCACTTCCCAAAGGAAGCACAGGATGCTCCCTCAGCACCCGCAGCTTTGCGCAGCGCAGCGCACGGGCCACGCCACGCAAAGCCGACCCTCAGTCTGCCCAAGAGGCTGTCTGCGGAAGGCCTGGCAAGCGCGTACTCGCCTCCTCCGCGGCCATGCCCTCCGCACTGGCGAGCGAGCAGCGCGAGAGTGGGACGGCGCGTCGGGTAAAAGTTTGAATTCTTTTTGTCCGAACGCTGGGTCGAAGGAAGGCTCCAGCATCGCGCGTCGATGCTCAGGATCGCTGCGGCCTGCCACGGCCTCCTGTCTCGCACGACAGAGCGGCACCTACGGCGTACCCACCCCCACGTCGCCGGGCTCGACGAGTGTGGCGTTGGAGCCATAGCTGGGCCCGTTGTTGCCGCCGCCGTCCGTCTCCCAGAGAGCGACGACGCGGCCGCCTGGCTTCCGGCTGGCGACTGCAAGTTGCTCTCCCGCGCCGCCCGGCTCGACGCGTACGAGCGGTTGCGCGCCGCGCCACGTGTGCTGTGGTCGTGCGCCGCAGTCGACCACAGAGCCGTCGACTCGCTCGGACCGCAAGCCGCCGCTCACGCGGCGATGCGGCTGGCGGCGGCGAGGCTGGAGCGGAAAGCATGTCGCTCGTGCTTCTACTACCTGGTGGACGGCGAGGCGGTGCCTGCGGGCCTGCGCGGCGAGGCGCACGTTCGCTGCGACCAGTCCGAGGCGTGCGTCGCCGCTGCCTCCATCGTCGCGTCGGTGGCGCACGAGGTTGCGATGCGGTCGCTAGGGCGGCGCCACGGCCTGTGGGACTTGCCCACCAACCTCGGTTGGCCGAGCAGACAGCACATGCGCCTACTCCTGCGACACGGGCCCAGCGGCTGCCACCGCGGCAGCTGCTTCCCCTTTGCGCCGCGGTACGGTCGCCGGCTCGCGTCGCATCCCGACCGTGCCGCGTACACTGTCGTGCAGCGCGAGCTGCGGCGCGCGCGCAGCGAGGATGCGGTCGCCGGCGGCGGAGGCGCCGGGGGCAGCGGCAGCGACGGCGCGGACGTGTGCAGCGACAGCGACGGTGCAGAGGCGGGCGGCGGCAGTGGGAAAGGCGGCGGCGGGGAAGGCGGCGGGGAGGAAGGCGGCGGCGGTGGGGAGGGCGGTGGCGGGAGGGACCAGCCGGCCGGTGCGGAGGAGGCGCGGCGCCGTCGCTACCTCGAGTTGGCGGGGCGGATCGAGGCCGCCCGTGCGCCGGGCGCGGGGGGAGGCGGCCCACGGCGGTACGAGGCCGGCTCAGCCTCGTCAGTGAGGGGTCGGCGGCGGCGCCGCAGGAGGCCCAGCACACACTGATGTCAGTCAGCCAGTCAGTGTCACTCACGTCCCAGTACGGACGACGGGGCACACGCACTCGAGGGTTGTTTGTCTGAGGCTGCACCATCTCATCCAAAATCTCGCAACCACTTTACGGTGGGGGAGGATGTGTGCCGTAGAGCTGTCAAACGTTAAGAGCTGAACAGTGTTGCTAGTGTTAACAGTAACAACAGAACAACAGTGGGGCTCCCCAACAACAGTAGCTAACGTTAGGCCAGCTGAACAACAATAAGGAAGGCCTGGCAGTGACCCACGACGATCTCCAGCGTCCAGTGCGGGTAATACCCGAAAATACCTGGAAAAACCCAGGTATTTTCGGGTTTTACCCGGGTTTTTTGGCATTTTCTGCTTGCTGGCCACTGAACAACAGTAACAACAGTAACAAACAGTAACAGCTTGGGCTGGGGAGAACACTTGAACAACGTTGAGGATTTTCTTTTTCAGCCAACAATAGTGCAACTGTTAGGCCCAAAGTTAACGTTTGACAGAGCGCTCTATGTGTGCGACCGTGCAAGTGTCGAGCGATTCCGTGTGTGCGAGTCTCGCTCGGCAAACCCGCTTATAACAAAGAAGGGGCGTTGAATTGTGATACCACAACACATTGGAGGTGTCTCGCGTTCGACACGACATCCACGGCGAAGGGACGGCCTCTACGTGATCATCAAAACTACGCACTGGCGCTACTTCTTGCGCTTCTGCTGCATCTGCTTGTCGTACTCGCGCTGCAGCTTGCCACCCGACATCAGGTTCTCGAAAAAGCCTAGTACACGGGCTTAGTACACGGGCTTAGACCAGGGCGGGGTGCACTTGCCCCCCGCACCACACCACCACCGACGTGTGGGGGCAACTGGTGCAGCATCCAGCCGTGAGTCCTCTGCATGTCGCTCCAGCGTGCCGGCATCCCCTGTCCAGCGTCCGCCCATACCGCGCTCGTGTCCATTCTGAGCCTGGCTGTTCTCTGTCCATCTTCTGTGAACCACCTGGGTTGTCGTACTCCGCATCCTTGTCGCTGCCGCTATCGAAGAACTTGCCGCGGGCGTCGAGGTCGAAATTGTTCGCCTGTTGAGAGGGAGCCAACTGGCCGTCATCGAACCCGCCAAGCCACCCCGCAAGCGGGCTGGCCCGCCGAGATGAGTGCATGTGTGTGTGTGTGTGTGTGTGTGTGTGTGTGTGTGTGTGTGTGTGTGTGTGTGTGGTGTGTGTGTGTGTGTGTGTGTGTGTGTGTGTGTGTGTGTGTGTGTGTGTGTGTGTGTGTGTGTGTGTGTGTGTGTGTGTGTGTGTGTTTGGTGTCACGGAGGCCTGTCTTGGCCATATCTCCGGCTATTCCTCGGCCTCGATCTCGGCTACGTCTAGGTGAACGAGGCCACGATCGCCACTATCGCGGCACCTCCAGCTCAAACTGCAGCGCAGCCCCTGCCTCCGCCTGCCGAATACATGTCATCAACTCAGCCGACGGACCAGGTAAATATTAAGACATGATATTGAGCCTCCGGTTTCTTGAAGTTGGTCTTCTTCAGGTCACCCAGCATGGGCGCGCCCGCGCCCATGGCCATCACCTATGGGGAGCCGCCAGGTGGCCGCCACTGCTGCTGCCAGAATGCTGCGACAGCTCTGCCAGTTTAGTTCGCCACTGGCATGCCGCCTCGGCGCACGCACGGCTGTGTGGTGTGTCGCAAGCCGTGGGCCACGTGTGATGTACGGGGCCACATGTGTCGCACGGCTGTGTGATGTACGGGGCCACGTGCAGGCAGTCCATCGCTCGAGCGAGAGTTCGCCTGCATCAGCCCGTCAAGAGAGATCTTGGGCTTCGCCTTCTCGGGCTCCTCAGGCGGCTCGGGCTCTTTCGACTTGAACATGTCGAACATGGCGCGCGGTGCGGCGCGAGGCGCGAAGGCCACGAAGGTGGGACGCGCCACTGTGGCCGCTCTGGCCGTAGGCGCGGGCTGGAATGCGGCGGCGGAGGCCGCGACGGCCAGGAGGCATTCCAATGAGGGCATCTGTTCCAGGGTTCCAACTTTTTGCGGGGTATGGTATAGTAGAACTAGCTGAGGGGCTCGCTAAACGCTCGCCGAGCTCCATGCTGTGCAACACCACCTCCTCACTAATCGTCAGGGGCGCGGAGAGCGCAGTGCACTGCGGTGAGGCTGCGCCGCGGGGGCTCGCCCCCTGCACCGCGCTCAGAGCGGCGTAGGGGAGAGGGCGGTCGGTGGCGGCGGCGGCGAGGCGCGAGGCGGTGGCGGCGGTGGTGCGGGCGGCGGGATGACAGGGGAGGCGGCGGGATTGACAGGGGAGGCGGCGGCCACGAGCGGAGCGGCGCGAGAAGGGGGGGGGGGCGGCGGCGAGGCGCCGGTGAGCGAGGCGCCCGCGCCATCAGAGGGACGCGCCGCTGCGAGATGGAGGGCGGCGGTGACGGAGGCGAGGCGCGAGGCGGCGGCGGCGGCGGCGGCGGCGGCGGCGGCGGCGGCGGCGGCGGCGAGAACGGCGGCACCGAGTCTCGGTGAGCGGCGGCGGGAGGAGGAGCAGCGGCGGCGCTCGCTCGCTGTTGACGGGAGCGCTTTTGAGCCTGGGAGCCCATGCCACTGCGACCGGCGTGCCCGGGAACGGAGATCGCGCGCGCGCCGCCACTCACGACGCGCGCGCGATCTTCGCGGAGTCGGGTCCCCAGAGGGAAGCGGTCTTCTCGGCCGACGTCCAGCGGCGCGCAAGGAAGCAGGCGCAGCGGAGGCGGCCTAGCACCGGCTCGGCGCCGGGCGGTTGCGCTGCCCGCGAGCCGCGTCCTGAGCCTCGGCAGCGCGCTGCGCGGCGCGGCGCTCGCGCTGCTGCGGTGCCGAGAGCGGCATGATGGATCGCCAGCTGAAGCTCGAGACTCCTCGGGTCCGCGAGTTCTGGGGGTCACGGGGATAAACGGCGGACGACGCGAGGCCCTTATATCTTTAGATTCCGTATTTCCGTAGACTCAGACGCCGTCGCCAACTGTCATGTCGGTAGCCGCTCTGCACCGCTCGCTGCTGGAGCGCGGTTGATCAACCTGGGGGGAATCGACCGCATCAGGGTGGACTTCCGAAACCTCCGTGAGTGAGCACGTTTGACGGTTCTCGCTCCCCATCGAGCCCTTCTTGCCGCTCGGCTCTTCCTGTTTGTCGGCACATCGATCGAGCTCGCGATCCGGGCCGTGGAGCCCACGAGGAAGACTTCGTCTGCTGGGACGGAGTCCCGACGCTCGCTGCGTCCGCCGGAACTGGGGTCTGGACACCTTTCGTGGCCGCGTCCCGCAGTGGAAAGCGCACAGCGCGCCCAGGGGCTAAGAAGCACACCCAGCGGGGGGCAGATGATCGGGATCGGGTTGCGGGCAAGAGAGCCCTAGGCCTAGCCGCTGGGGGGTGCGCGTTCGCAGGGAAACGGCGTAAGTAACATGGCGATTTTCCCCTCTAACTCGGAGCAATGGTGTGTGAGTCATCTAGCCGCGCGCTCCGCCCGCGGGGGCGCGGTGTCTAGCTAGCGCGCTCCGCGCGTATGTCCGGGTAGCACCAGCGCGTTCCGCCCGCACCATAATCTCAGTCAGTGCCTATGGCTATGCTTGTAGCCACTATAACCTGTCTGCACGTCCCGCGCGCGCGTGAACAGGGCTCCAGGCCCCAAACGACGCGTGAGTGTTAGATTTGTTTGGTATTGCTAAAAATCTCTCTCTAAAAGCTCGTTCGTTTCTGCAGCTTGGGAATCGCCTGGCGTTTACCTTCCTGCCTGGGCCCAAGATCACGCACACGACAGTCGAGAGCAGACAGCGAGAGCAGACAGGACAGCACGACAGTCGGCCTACTTCGGTCGACGTCGGCACCCAGCGCGCGGCCGCCGGGAGCCTTCGAACCGACAGGGGCGCCGCGGCAGCGACTGTACGGGGAAGGCGCTCTCAAAAAAAGAAAAGACCTTTTACGTGCGTCCCAAATGCGCGTTTGCGGCTTGCCTGTGCTCTCGGCCGCCTCGCTGAGCGAGACCGAGCGCGGTGCTGGTGGCGCCGACACTGCCGATCCGTCGAGCACTGCGACGGCTGCTCAACCAATGAGAGTCGGCAGCGCTGCCTCTGCGGCTGGTGCGCCTGCACAAACCACGCCAAGCGACTGCAAACTGGGCGCAAACCTGTCTCGCAATGCTCTGGGCGAGGATGTCAGTGTGGAAACCACTCGAGTCCTTCAGCTTGATCCTGCCTCGACGGCTCGCACCGCAAACGCGGGTCCTGCACTTCCTCGCGGTGCTGGCATCTCTGCGCTGCGCCATATTGACGCCAATAACTCTGCTTTCAACATGCTCAACGAGGCGGGCGCTGCTGCAGCGCTGACTCCCAACGAGGTGGTGGCTCAACATCCTGCTGCTCTTTGACCTCAGCCTCGCTGCCCTCTGCGCGGCTGACCTAACCTGTGCTGCTGCTGCTGCTGCTGTTGCAGCTGATGCTGCTCCTGCTACCCTCCCGCCCGCCCGCCCTGCCCGCCCGCCCTGCCCGCCCGCTCGTAAGGGGTCTTCACCTTCACACTGGTCTGGCCACAGGTGGGCAACCTTCCCGTCGAAGGTCAAGCGGTCTCAACTTCGCGCTCTACTGCCCGCCCTCGCCCTCGCCTCCCGCCTCCCGCCTCCGCCCGCCGACCCGCCGCCAGCTCGTCCGCCAACCCGTCGTCTCTGTCGCCTCTCGCCCGCCCGCCATCGCCCTTGCCTTTCACCTCCCGCCGCCTCCCGCCGACCGCCACGCCAGCTTGCCTGCCGCCCTGTCGTCTCGCCTGTCGCCTGCCCGCCCTCGCCGCCTCTCGCCGACCACCACGCCAGCTTGGCCGCCGCCCTGTCGTCCCGCCTATCGCCCGCCCGCCCTCGCCCTCGCCCCCTCCTCCCGCCACCACCCTCGCCTCGCCCTCCCGCCGCCTCGCCGCTCTCGCTCGCCGTTCGCCGTTCGCTCGCCCGCTCGCGCCTGGCTTTCTACTCCCTCGTGATCGCCCGAATCTCTCCTTCCTCGTGATCCACCCTCGCCTCACCCTCCCGCCGCCTTGCTGCTCGCTCGCCGCTTGCTCGCCCGCCCGACTTTCTACTTCCTCGTGATCCGAACCGCCACCACCCTCGCCTCACCCTCCCGCCGCCTCGCCGCTCTCGCTCGCCGTTCGCTCGCCCGCTCCCAACTTTTCTACTTCCTCGTGAATCCGAACCGCCACCACCCTTCGCCTCACCCTTCCCGCCGCCTCGGCGCCTCTCGCTCGTCGTTTCGCTTCGCCCGCTCCCCACTTTTTTACTTCCTCGTGGACCCATTTCGGCCGCTTGT